ACAATGATTTCCTTTTTGTAGAAAGAAAGAGTAAAAACTTCAGAAATTGCTTAAGGTCTGCGAGAAGTTTTCTATTCCTACATTTGTAAAAAAAACCTCTTCTAGGCGTTCGATTTGGTAGTTTAAACCTGCCATAAATGCGTGAAACAAGAGACACGGAAATCATTCTTTTAGGACAGATTAAAGAATTAGTTTTTCGTTGGGATAAGTGTACCTAGTTAAATGGGGATTATGCAGAAACTACATTGTATTTGATGAAATAAAAAATATGCCTTAATTCGTAAAAGTCTCTCATATTTTACATCTATTTTTCATATTTAGTTCCATTAATTTACATTGGCTTCAAAATGTTAAGCACGTTATGGTAAAATCAACAAAAAAGGAAAAGTAATGCATTGATTAACACCGAACTCCGTATGAAGGTAGCTTATGCTATAAGGATTTTAAGTTTTACTAACGTTTATTTTATTAGAACTTTAAAGTCCTCTCGTATTTTCCACTTCCGGCCAGAATAAACATGTTAGTTGGTATTCCAAATTGCGCTTGAAAACTCTTAAGTTGGGACTCTTAAGCCAAGTAGAGAGAGAGAGAGTGAGCCTTCTTGCCACTTTATTTAACGCGTGCTTTCAATCAGTTGCTGTCCGCCTTTAAGGTTTAGTCCTCTTGATATGGAACTTGATATGGAGGTTTAGTCCTCTTGATATGGAAGACGTACAGTAGAAGTCCGATAATCCGGCACGTTCGGGACCGGCTCGGTGCCGGACTACCGAAAATTCCGGTCTATCGGGCGGTAATTATAAGAACAATTAGGTTAATAATTAAACTAAAAATACAGTATGCAAATACATACAACAAAGTTTATTTTACATTTCATATAATGTATGTACACGTACTGTAAAACATATTTCACTTAGATTTAAAAAAGTCACGAATGTCTTTTTGTTTTCTTGACTTTTGGCGTTTAGTATAAAATTTATTTCTAATGATATGGAAATCAATAATTTCTGAAGCACTGTAGCTAGTACTAGCCTCGGCAAAAGAGATAAACTTATTTAGTGATTCTGCAGCTTCTGCCCAGCTGATTTTTCCTTTTCTTCTGTTTCGGCATCTGAGTCATTTTCTTCAAGATTTTGAGTAGGCTGAGGGTTTACTACAATGTTGATAATGTCCTCATCGGTTAGTTCTTGTTCAACAGGCTCATTCTCGTCGATTAAAAGCCACTCTTCTACCTCATCTTCAGGCAGGTTTTTCAAGGGATTGTCAGTACTTCTAACGACATCCAAAACTTTGGTCAGAGCGTCTTGATGGTTTTCTTCCTCATCAGTCTGTAGAGTTAGGTCAGATGCAGGGTTTGCAGCTGGCCAAAGTTTTCTCCAGCATTTTTGGAGTGTTGTATTTTTTACCTGGTTCCAAGACTGTGCAATACATAGACGGCATCTTTTACTGTAAACTTTTTTGAAAATCAGTCACGTCACAGTCGGCATTTAACAGGCCTTGAATAAAAGACCTTCTATAAAAGCATTTAAAATTTTGAATAACCCCTTGGTCCATGGGTTGAATCAAAGATGTTACGTTAGGTGGGAGCAGAGTAGCAACAATATTTCCAGAAACTAACTCATCTACTGGCGGATGGGCTTTGCAATTGTCCAAAAGAAGGATGGCTTTAGTATCTTCTGGTAGACCAAGGCTTTTGAAGGATTCCTTGACCTCAGGCACAAAGTGGTGAAAAAAACCAGTCTTTAAAGAGGGCGGCAGTTATCCACGCATTTGATTGAGCATCGTATTGGACAGGCAAGTGTGTAACATTCTTAAAAGCCCTGGGTTTTGCAGATTTACCTATCACAAAAGGGGTCACTCGGTGGTTTCCAGACGCATTAGCACATAGCAAAACGGTTAATCTGTCTTTGTTTTTTTTAAAACCCTTGGCTGCTTTTTCTCCTCCCCTAGCTAGTGTAGATGTTGGTAAACATCGCCACAATAGCCCTGTTTCATCAGCATTGTAAATCTGTTCAGGTGTTAAATCATTATCAGCCACGATTTTTTCAAACTCGTCTTTGTATTTTTCTGCAGAGTTTTGATTTGCTGAAAGGGTTTCTCCAGTTACATCAAGTCTTCGAATTCCATGCCGAAACTTAGTTTCTGAGCCAACCATCAGAATAATTACATTCACTTTCAGCAACTCCTAAATCTTGGCCGAATTTCTTTGCCTTTTCAACAATCATTGGCCCTGTTACCGGCTTTCCTTCAGAACGTACTGCACTAAACCATTTGAACAATACACTATCTAGCTGTTCCATTTTTTTTTTTTTAATGTTTGTCTAGAAGCCCATTTTTCAGTTTTGTTACCGATTGAGAAGCAAACTTCATTAGTTCATCTTTTGTTTTTTTAATGTCATAAATAGTTGATGAGCCAATATTAAACTCATTCATGAAAACATTCTATTCTCGCCTTTTTCTAGCTGTTTGATGATTTCTAATTTCTGATTGAGAGTCAGTGTTACGTGTTTTCGTTTCTCTCCTTTTGAACTCGAAGGCTTAGGTTTTGAAAACATGGTCCTGTACAGTTAGAACGAAAATCACTTTTTTATAAACATTTTCAAAAGTTACGTTTACTGCGATGTGAAAGGACACAAAACAACAACGCAACAAAAAAATGGCGAGACGCTTCGTGATTGATTAACGGAGCTGCACTGCACCTGAATTTGTTGTGACAGCTGAGACTAGCCGGCCGCTAATTGTTTCCGAACAATACCGAGCGCTTCCGGATGATCTCGAAATACCCCGAAAACTTCCGAATAGCTCTCGAGCGGTTTTATTTGCTTTATAGACACACTTTTGGGGAAAACCAAAATTTTTACAATTTTCCGGAGCGATGCCGGACTATCGGACATTCCGGACTGTTGGATGCCGGACTAATGGACTTCTACTGTATTGTAATTTTCCGCAGTTTGCGTACTACATACTTAAAAATCTAAAAAGCCAATCTTAGTGTTATTCGTCTATGTCAAGTATTCGAGTTTAGCTCTTATTTAAATTTAATTAGCTAGTAGTTCTTATTTTCTTATGTTCAGACCACAAGTGTTTGGTCTTTGTATCACGAAGTGCGGGAGCACCTGTAATTCGTGGAGAATAAAGGGTAATTAAACCCTTCTCATCTTTGTTATCTTTTCTACAGTTTAACAGAACATAATTTCCAGTAAGCTCACTGTTCTACTCAGGACACTTACATGTATCCAAAACAGATAAGGCATACCTGGATACGCCCGCGAACAGCACTTTGCGCCAGTTTGAGAGAGTTCTGTTGAGATGTTGACAACATTATTTTAATCTTGCTCTTCTCGATTGGGCTGTTAGTGGAACGCAGACATTTGTACTAGGATATATAATCTCTTCATGGGAAGCCTTTCGGCGCACATTACGTTATTGTTGTCTTACCGAGTGATGCTGTAACAACGGATGTAAACGTTGTTGTGGTCGCTCGTATGTTTTGCTTGGCTACTATAGCAATATAATGATCTTCGTAAGAGGTATAATCTTGTTTGATTGGCCTCCAGGCAATTGTTTGACTTGTCTGGAATTGTTTACACATCCGAAAAATTACCGAATGATCATCGCTAAAGAGAAGAACGACAGCCTTTGATTGACTATTCAGCGCATCCACACACCATCGCTCACTAAATGTATTCGTTTTCTTTCAGCCATAGAAACACGAATACCATACAAATTATCTAAATTGTAAACACTTGGTATCAACATTTAAATGAACCATCTGAAATTCGTTAGAATGCTGGCATTTTCAACGACTGCCTCGTTAGCATATACTCAGACGGCCTTTCGTGATTGACCTTAACATGCGATATTTTACGACCAGTCACGACTGTGCTGTAATCTTCATATGTCGCGATTTTCAGTCAATTCTAATTCATCTGCATTTTCGAAGATTGCTAATTTGTACTGCGTGCTTAACTTTTGGAAGTCAGTGTATTTTACAGAAGTTAAGAGTCTGGCTTTCTTTTATTTAAAATTATATTTAAATTTTGAAATGTGATAGTTTGTTTTAAATTTGGAACCTCATGATAAAATTACATTATCATTTATAGGTGTAAAACTATAAAAAATCCGTTTATTTGTTGTTCTGATAAAAAAATTAAGATCAAGGATATGTGGTGAAATTTTGTCATGAAGGGAAAATTCAAACTGTTGGTAACATCTGATGGAAAGAAGTCCGATACACCTGATTAACTTAAGATGTCATGCAGTAGCTCAAGACCAGCCCTAAAGAAGAAAGTGAAGCTAACTCTTTTAGACAATTTCTTGAAACCTGCACATAAACACAAGAAAAGTCAAATCTGCAAAAAGATCAAAGATAACAGAATGGAAAATTTGTGTGATTGTATGCACAGAAAATAAGCGTAAGTATTTTTATTACTAATGCATTAATAAATTCCTTAAGTTTTCAACGTTGTGATGCTTTGCGTACTTTGTAAAATTTGTTTATGATGTTTTGCTATTTTGGATCGAGCTCAGGAACGAGGTAAAATTACCACAGTAACTCATGGGAAAAGTTTTCGCACAAAAATGACTCTCATAATGAAAGCTTACGTAGGAACGTATTATAATTTAGGGTACTGCTATAATAGCATTTATTCTTTCCTTTGATAAAATTTCAGGAAAGCTGCTGTTAGTGCAAACATATTTATCTATCCTCACTCTGTTGCGCATTTTCCCAACAAGGCATTAACATACTAATGATTTTAACTCATTGACTTTGTTAGATTTAAATACGAGATTGCTAACGTCTAGGTAAAGTTAATATGTGAATAACGTTTTTGTTTGTTGTAACTCCCAAGTAAACACGGTTAAGCAGTTTTTTCCCTCATTTTCCTCTTTGATTTGTTTGTCTAATGAGATTAACAGTCAGTTCAGTACACAAGAAGAACACACTAAGGTAAACATGACTCTAAATTAGGGAAACTGCGAGATAATGATATTGGTCGTACCGTCTGCAGTGCCATGTATCAAAAGTATTTTTTTTCCTTTAAAACTGTGAGCTTTTCGGATCAAACTTGCTCTTTCGTATCCTTGGCAGTTGTCTTGTGGCAGTGGAGAGCCCATGTATCTTTCAGTGTAGGTAGAGCCTGGAAATAAACACAATTTATTTATTTTTATGAAAATAAAGAATTAAAAATATTTGATTGAGTATTGTAGCCATTTCTGTTTGATGACTGCTCCATACTTCAAATGGATGAGAAACACAGCATAGTACAATTTAAAATCAGCCCAAAAAGCAAACTTAAATTAATGTAGATTTTTGAGCAAAACACAACCCCTTTCCATGGAAGTCAATTATACATCCCATTTCTTCAGATGCAAATATGTAAAAATAATATTGCTTTTTGTCTTATTTTAAAAGCTTCACATTTATCTAAATAGGCCATGACTCGTGAAACGCAACAAAATTTATTAGATGATGATGAAAATTTACCAATATATATATATATATATATGGTTTTATATGGGAATGAAATATTTGAATCCTCGAATAACACGTCTTGTTGATGGTTCGAGATTTTAAAACTCGAATCTTTCCATTTTTCTTTTCACTCGAATTTTTCTTATCCTAACCTAAAAATTATTATACCCTTAACTCGAAAACTTAGTAAATGCTTGCTTCATTGACATCCAATGGAGGAGCTCATTAAAACAAAAACGAAGTTGAAATTTCAGCTTGTCGCAAGTATCACTTCGTGACATTTTTTCACAATATGTTGGAGACAATTAAGCTTATGAAGCAACTAATATCTGTATTAAACCTTGAAATAATCCACCTCTTACTATTTTTGCTTCGATTTAAGAGGATTATGTAAAAATCTAAAAAGTATAAACTGTTACTGAAATACATTTTATTAAATTGAATTGAGAAAACGAATCTGAAGATTCAAGAGCATTAATTATAACCTTTCATTTATAATACTTTATTTGTATCTTCGTAAGACCGCAGACGTTTTAATCTGTTTATCCTTAAACGCAGATCTGATGTTTTGCTTTTATTAAAAGATTTGCATATTAAGTAAAACTTTTATTTTTATGTAAGAAATCGTCACATTTAAGTTATTCGAAAATAAGAGGGATTTGAGAATTTTTTTGAACAGGAATTTCAGAAAATATGGTATTTTGTTCACTTCTAAATTTACTTATTACGCATAATTCTTTTATGCAAGCATATACGGATGACTTATCGACGTCTAATCCGTACACTCGGCATGTAAATCGTGTTTTTGCTGTTCAGGTATTGCGCTCTGTTTTTATCATCCTAGGCAAAATTTTCATTAAAAGTATTAATATACTGACAATAAATGTAAGAATTATGAAACAGAGAAATAAACGTTAGCTTTCCTGGAAGAAACAGGAATGCTACAAAATGAAGACTACGGATAGTGCTTAGAGAAAATTTTCTAAATTTGTAAACAGAATATAGAATCGAAACTACACTGTTCTCTAAAAGTTAAGGAATAGCAAGTTTATCAAAGCTCACGATTACAAAAATGTCAGTAAAGTTTAATTTCGCACTTCATATGCATGACAGTAACGAAGTTTAAGAAAATATATGCATAAAAAATAGCTAACACTTTTATTTTATAGATGTGAATACTTATATAAGAGTTGGAGAAAAAATGTAAAAATTGTAATTTTTGTTCACGGGTGTTGATATTTAGTTGTTATTACAGTTTCGTGGACAATATCCGCGAGAGTTTATCAATGCCCAGGCGAAGTTGGTTTTCGATTCGTTGAGATGGCGGTCGATCGGAGGGATGGAAATGGGGATGTCACAAGCTGATGCTGCTAGACGTCTCAATGTTTCTCGTAGTGGGGCCCACCAACTATGCAATCAGTTTGAATCCGAGGATTTTGTGTGTAGAAGTCATGTTCGAGGCAGACCTAGAGTTACAACATCTGCGGGAGACCGTTTATGTTAGGCGAGACAACACGTCTCCTGCACCAGTCAACAATGGGCGTCTGTTCTCTTCACAGACGAGTCCAGGTTCACATTGTAGAGTGATTCAGGTCGTCCGCTGAACTGGAGGGAACAACGCACCAGATACAACCAATCCCACATTATGGAAAGACGCAGTTACAGAGGTGGTGGAATAATGGTTTGGATTGGGTTCTCTCGATGGTCACAATGACCCACATGTGTTTAATGGAAGAACTTTGACGATGTGAGATAGCGAGATAATTGATCAATATGTCCGCCCATATGCCTCTGCTATTGGTTCTGGATTTTTTCTGAAGGACAATAATGCGCGATTGCACCGAGCTCGGGTTGCTGAAGAATATCTTGAGGTTCACGGTGAAGAAGGGATGGAATAGCCAGCTCAGTCCTTAGACCTGAATCCGATAGACTGTCTTTGGAACTACCTTGGGAGACTTGCTGCTTCCTCCAAGGTCCTCCTCCAAGGTCGTTAGATGGGCTTAAACAAGGATTACTCCATGTCTAATCGTTGCTTCCCATTTCACTGACCGACAACTTAATTGACAGCATGGACCGTCGCTGCCGCCAAAGCATTGCAGCTAGGGATAGACACATTACTTATTAGAACCCATTTTTGCAATGTTATCACCTCATGTTTCCTCAAAAATGTGTGACATACTGTTTCTCCAAGAGTGGATTTCTTTGCTAAAAGTGTAATATTTTGTTGTAAATCATGATTGTATTGAATTTTAGAAACAATCTATGCCGCGTTCATTAAAAACTGTTTAGTGAACATGTCCTGTAAATTTCTTCTTTCTATGTTGCTTCATTCTCAAATTAGGCACAAAATCATGCTGTTACTTAACGTTTGGAGGGCAGTGAATTTAGAAATACACATATGATAAAAATTTAATTTAATTTTTCCATTTTAAAAGAGACGAAGTCTCTCATGGAATTATTCTTTTGTATAATATTTAAGATTCTTATAATCATGATGACACTGGGTTTAATTATGCGTTCATATATATACGTACTATATTGCGCATTCGAAGACATGACGTTTAATTTCAATTTATAAAATTAATAGTTTACGTTTCTCAGAGTTAGAAGCTACCAAGTTTCAATGATTTTTATTTTGAGGTTCAATCGTTAACTTCATAGAGCATAACAAAGCATAAGAAAGGGAGTGCTTTACTATGAGAAAAAAGGGTTCACAGGTTTTTAGTTTTAAATTTCAAATGGGTACTAAGTCTTAGTCCGAATCGAACAAAGATTTCGTCTTTCGAATAAATTCTCAAAAATAACATATTACAATTTCTAAGAGTTTTTCTTTCTTTTCTTTTTTTTTTAAGTTAGAAAAAGAAAGATCAAGTTTTGGCAAAAGGATTAAATGACAGATTCAAACTGTCGAGCTGGAGACTTGAGAAAAGAAACCCAGCTTCTCTCGAACTAAGCGAGAAGAAAAATTATTTTTCAAAAGAAAGCTAGATAGAGAAATTACAAATCTATCTAAAAAGAGACCTTTAGAAATCCCTCGAAATATCGCAGACGAAAACGTCGCGGAGAAAACAACGCAAGGAAGAAAGCCATCACAGAAGGAAAATCATTGCATGATGATGATATCCCAGAGCTTTAACTTCTAGACTTTAAAAGTTTTAAGTGAATATTCCCTATATCAGTGCAGCATTATAAAAGCGATTAACTAAATTATGACGTATATTAATTCACTACGCAAGTTTCAATTTCTATTAAACTGTTAAACTTAGCTTTAATTTTGTACTCATTAAGAATTCATTAGTTAATTCTAAAATAGGTATTATAGAGGTAAAAATATTCCTCATTCTTTCTTGCTGTCTCAAATCATTATACGAACATGCATTTACAATTTTTAAAGTCTGTAAAGACATGTCTGCGATGTTATCATCATGCAATGATTTGTAGGTGCTTTAATTTTTACAATGATATTTTTAAGACAATTTTTAAAATTTCGAAGCTTTTGAATCGTTTTATTTTCTCCGACGATGTTTTATACCACAGTGTTTTCTCTTTGTTTTCTTTTCTCCCACAATGTTTTGTACCATGTTACTCCCCCCTCGCGTTGTTTTCTCTGCGACGTTTACATCCATGTTGTGTATTCCGTTATGTTTTAGCCGGTCTTTAGATTTCACAAACATACTGACAGGTACAATTTTAGAGATCATTTATTAGCCAAAAAAAGATTTTCCGCAAAGATGCTCATTTATTTAACCCGAAGATCAGGTAAATTATATTAATTTTTTTTTACCTATACGACAGCAGCTTTGAAAAGCAAATTTACTGCAAATGAACGATTTTATGGAGTGTGAACTGCATGGTATGCATTTATTAAATTCGCAGAAAATCATATTCATTAATCCGACTAAACCTAAATGCATTTAGGATCTTTAGAAAACAATTTTTAGACAAGAATTTTAAAGAACCGAATGTATATTGAATAATTTTAAAGAAATAAACCTATGTGAAAGAATTTAAAGAAAAACGAAATTATATTAAAAGAAAGGATTCAATTTTCAAAGCAAAGTTTATTTTAACTCACGTTTTCTTGTAGAATGAACTTAATCGACAGTATGATGGCGTTAAATTTGATCGAAACTTTTTGCCATGTTGGATATTCCTTAATCAAGCAAGCTGAACGCTTCTTGATGATGTTGTGTAAGTTTTATAGCTTATATTTTTAGGTTTCCAACTGGTATTGGATTGTCTAGAAATGTATGCTAAGTGCAGACCAATTAGCTGCAAACTTTGCTGATTCGGGGAATTCATGCTCTCCAGGTGCTAAACACAAGTGTTGTGATCTTTTATCAAACCATAGCAAATGGGCGGATTGCCTACTCTCTTCATAGTGTGCCCTACCCTCGTGTGCAATTGATTTTCTTCCAGTCCTTCTTTTCCCTAGGCAAACAAGGCTATAGTCGGCTACTTTACAATAAGTCCTTCAAGATCCTAGCGATTCTATCACCGCACAGAGAGAGAATTAGGGAATTTTAGTACATTAGAGGGTTGGAACATTACCATGGTCATCAGTCATGGTTTGGGGTCAAGAAATACTAATGAAATTCTTGTTCTAAAGTAATAGATAATAGCATGCTTTGCCATAATCCAGTTCTCTTCAAAAATAAAAACTCGGGGAATTTGTAAAACTGATATATTCATTAAGTTTATGAAACTGCATTTTGTTTGTGGACTCCAAATATTCTCAGCTTAGTATTATTTTCGCTAACAACAACAGCAGAAGGGAAAAAAATATCTAAATTAATTGTTTCCAGACGTTTATTTTTGCGTTCCATTTAATATTCAAGATATCTTTCGAATTCTCATTTTAACTTGCAGAATCCGTACGGCAGTTTTATGGAGTTACTCGATTCCGTTTGAAGAGCATGGTTTTGTGGTCCTCTGAATCTCTCAAACGTAATTTGATTGAAAAATGTTTACCATTCAATCAAGTTGAATTTTTCTCCCATTGACGTAAGGCAAGTTTACTTTCATGTAAGTATTTGCTAGATTTAACAATAAAACTAATAAAAAATATGAAATATATTCTTTCAAACTTACTGTAGTAAATCCAGCTGGTAATAGGAGCAATAGACACTGCGCACTTGAAGACGGTATTGTGAGCAGCCAGAGCAGATGCAGCTACAAAACCGCCGTAAGAATGGCCCCAGATGGCAATATTGGTGGGATGAATAAAAGGCAAGTTGTCTCTTAGGTACCTTAAAGGGAATTACGAAGAATAAGGTAATCTCAGGGAAAGGGGTGAGGTAAACAAACATACATTTCTGCAAAAGAGCAAGAACAGTGTCCGTGGAAAAGAGTTCAGGAATTAAGATACATAAAAATCGAATTAAATCATTAAACACTCATAAATTCGTATGAAATGCTATAAAACCATGCAATACGCGATATATTAAAAAATCTGATGTGTACACCACATGACTTCCTTGTACGGAATATTAAATTATACGCATTTTTTCTTGCATTTCGTTTAAAGTTATTGGATTGAATTAAATTTATTTCGTCGGTAGCGCATAAACCACAATAGAATAAATGATGCAGTCTTTGAAATTCACTATATTAGTTTACCGTAGCGACATTCGGGCCCTAGGTTCGCTTAACGCAGTTAAATTTCATTCATTTTTAAACTCAGAATGCATATAAGTTATATCAATTGAATAACTATGTTTCTCACGAGCTTTGCTAAAATAATATTTTAATATTTTAGTATTTTAGAAGCAAGGTTTTGTTTAAAAGGCTGCAATGCATTATTTATAAACTGCACCTTACGTAGAAGATTACTTTCCATAATTTTCGGAATTAAGGATCTTAGAATTAAAAAAAAATACCCATTTACTAAATGAGGATGCATCAATATAATGCTTCTTTCCATTAATAGTAATCATCTATTCCAATAGCATTTAAAGATATTTCTGATATGCTTCTTTCTTTAGTGACAAACTTTTTCTTCATGCTTATATTTATTTCATAAGCATTTATTGTCTCTACCTATTTCTTAAATGTTCAAGTTGCTATTTGCCTTTTAGAAGTAAGTTCTTAGGTGCTTTCAAACTTTAATAGAGAAAAATTTCATATCGTATCATATCGTACCAGAGCATTGAAAGCTTCAAGAGTGCAAATGAATCGATTTTTATTAAACAGTTCTACTAGCTAAACAAAGAAAATTAATTACTGAAATCATTTATCCAATTTAAGCAATAAAATTTTCAATGCCGAATTAGTTTTTAAACTCATTTTACATGTAAATGCTCAGTTAATAGAACAATAACAACAAGAAAACAAGCAATGGCCGCCATCAAAAAAGTTATTAGGCTTAGCGGCACTTAAACAACTTTAAAATTGTTCATAATTCTAAAATTATTGCATACAGATTTACTAAAGGCATAAAAACCTTAACCGAAAGATAAGAACAACATAATTTAATTATTTTTTAAACCAAAAAATGTACAATTTACAAACATATAAGAGTAAAGAAACTGAGATCACTGAGCCGGGTAACAGAAAGGATATATATATATAAATATATTTATATACGTTTGGTGCGGCCGATTGCAACAAAATACGAGGTGCACATCTACATATTATAGCAGTCCTATATACAAAATTTTCAATGTTCTGAGGCTACTCGTTTTTGAGTTATGCGAGATACGTTCGCACGTACGTACATACGTTCGTACAGATGCCACGAAAAATTTTCTTTAGAATTCATTTTAAATCAGTTTTATATTTTTTTGGAGGAAAGGAGTCTTTTATTCTGTCCTTACGTACAGATATCACGCAAAAACATCGTTAAATTGCATTCGATAGCGGTCAAAATGGATATTTTCGTTGAAATATGCTGCCTGAAACTTTTCGCGATTACAATACTTCCTTTTTACTTTGTACGAGGAAGTAAAAAAGGTCGGGGTATTCTGGACGATAAAATTAAGGAATGCAAAGGAAAGGAAATATTTGAAGGAAGGGACTAGGTATCTTATTCTCTAAAACACAGATCCATAATGAGGCATACAGATGCAAGAGAAAGAAAAATAAGCTATAAGTTCTCGCATTATTTCGTTATTTTGCCGAAACCTGTCAGGTGACTAGGTTTTGGAAATTGAATGGCTTCATTATAAAGGAAAACATTAATAGAATCTTTGTATCCTAAAATAAACGTTATATGAACAAACTTCTTGAACAATGACGAGAGAAGGAAAAAGCTGCTTTGATGAGTAGTCGATGTATTTTAGAATTTAGGAAAAATAATGTAAATAAGCGCAGCGACTTATTATTCGGTTGACGGCCCAAAGATGTTTGGCTTTCTTACAATGAAACAAAATTTTTAAATATCGTTTCAACCACGGAAATTTATTTGATATTTTTTAGAATTGATAAAATGAATGTACAACAAATGCCACATATTTTCTCGAGGTTTACACATCCAACCAGCAACTGGAAATTCTATGGGTGAAGCCCCGACGAGGCACTGATTTGTCACTTGTACATGCTGTGAGATACTAGCAGAGTAAATGTAATTGGTAAAATAATGCCAGTCGTCTAATTCGATGCCTCATATTTGTGCCTTATATTTGCTGATTGGTGAAAAAGCAAATATATTGTACCATCTTGTGACGTATAGTAAAACAAGACATGCCTGTGTGTATGACATTCTTAATATTATTCCCAAGTATGTATTATAAAAAGATAATATATCTTGCAAGGTTTATTTAATTTTGTAATCAGTGAAAATCTTTCAAATTCCATCTGTGCTGTCTGACGTTTATTCAGTCACTTTTAACTGTGTCTAGACAAATGCAAGAATATGCAGTCGACGATGAAACGACTCGAAAGAAATTATCAGGAGAATTCTACATGAAAGAGAATAGTTGTACTGAATTCCCTGCTGGTATATAGCGAATGAACGTAATGTGATAATCAAGAATTACACGAAGTTAATTTTAAGCTGCTATTCTTGCTTTAACGTTTTCAGAGGAAAGTTGTTTCACTTCCGAGCAAATTTTGCTTTTGTTAATTAAGATCTACTCTTAGTATGGAATCTGTAGAAAATTAGCAGGCGTGTGTCTCTAAGGCAGAGATTTCTCTGTTCAGTTGTACATAACCAATCTAAATTGAATTCATAAAGTTCTTGTTAATTTAATAGCAGCATTGTTAATACAAGCTTGATTCAGATTTTATTAGTTGTTTATTTAAAACCCGAACTCTGTTCACCTAAGGGAAACCTCGTTGTTAAGAACTGGATGAAATGAAATCAATCTTCAGAAATTAAGAAAAAGATATTGATTCCTTAAATTTATTTCGAAAACTAATCTGACTGTTAACTGACGGTAACACTTATACTCAGAAAATGTCATATTGTATTGTCGAATTACAGACATTTCAGAGTATGCAAAGTGAAAAAATCAACTACGATTTCGGCGGATTTTGTGGCACAGAACTTCCATTCGTAATGCATTTTAGTTGGTGCCGGTCATTTAAACTATTCGCTTAAATATCAAGCACTCATTCTCTTAAAAATCCATAAATAAAGGATATTTCGTTTCGATATTCATCGTACTTACTCTGCTTTCACGATGACATATCCCACCACGCACTGAATTACGAAAATGTTTATTTATGTCCTGTTCCATCACCCTTTTTAAGTTGTGACCATCAATTATGTCATGAAATGTATGTCTGCCTTTCGTAAACTCATGAAATAAGATAGAGAGAGATAGCAAAATGAGTTAGGAAACACGAGACAAGATGAAGACAGGTGACAGGTAAATGCAGGGCCCGGACACCCGGACGGCTTTATATGACAAATCGGGTGTTGTCCGGTACCCGCACCTATCTAGAACAACACAACCCTCGCGGCTTCCCGCGAGGGCTGCATCGGGGATATATTAATGAAGTATATGAGATTTTGACGTGGCCAAACAAGGGCCTATGCATATATGCTTCAGAATACAATAGATAAAAAGTTTCATACATAGGTACATTGGCTGGTATAGGTACATTGGATACATATGTACGAGGGCAATTTCCAAAAAAAAGGTCTCCTATTTTTTGGGGACGTAGAGAAAGTTTTAATACGGTTGTTGGCAACACTGTTGTGAGTGGTGCCTTCTCCGCTACCACATAAGCACGCAGGCGCTTCGCTCGGATGTTCAGTCTTGGCTTGGCAGGCATTTGAAATGGAGCTCCCGACAAACGTTACCGCCAAGTGCGAAGTGCGCGCAGTTATTCGATTTTTGAACGCAAAAGGCGTTAAACCGGTTGAAATTCACCACCTATTGACGGAAGTGTATGGACAGTAGTGCATGGATGTCAAAAACGTTCGCAAGTGGCGTAGAGAGTTTACAGCCGGTCGTACTGAAATTCATGACGAAGAAAGAAGCGGGAGGCCGTCAATTGCCGAAGAGACAATCGCGAAAGTTGAGGAACTCATGCGTAAAATTCGGAGGATCATTCTGGATGCTCTCTGCATTTTGGTTCCTGAGGTTTCCAGAAGCACAATACACAGGATTTTAACGGAAAAGTTGCAATATCGGAAGGTGTGTGCAAGATGGGTGCCGCGTATGCTGACAGAAGACCACAAACGGCAACGGGCACCCAGCAATTTCCACCTGTTCCCTAAGTTGAAGGAACATTTGTCTGGACGACGGTCACCGATGATGAGGTGAAAGATGAGGTTCAACGCTTCCTGAAGGGCATGGCGGCAAGCTGGTATGACATAGGCATTGTAAAACTGCCACAGCGTCTACACAAATGCATCGACTGAAATGGCGATTATGTTGAAAAATAAAGCATTCTTCAATCTTTAAAGTGATGTAGCAATTATAGAAAATAAACGGTTCTTTGTATATCTAAAAATATAGGAGACCTTTTTTGTGGTATTGCCCTTGTATATTGGTCTAAGTGGTTAATGATATACAAGATGAAGACAGCCACATCGAGTCATCGAACTAAAAAAAGATACTGAGAAAAAGCTGAACTCATTTAGGCTTAGAAATGTAGACTTCGAAATTTAAGGCCAAGTACACTTTTGAAATGCTCCTGAATACTTTGTATCGCTATAAATAATGTTTAACTTTTAAGGATGCATATGCTAAACGAGTCCATTACACTGTATTCGATGAGGAGTACTTGAATTTCAATTGCAGCAATGTTAGATGTTTACTTTAACCTGCATATAATCATCATCACTTAAGTATATTAACCATACGTGGCTCTAAAATATCTGCAATTATGTTATAGTTCAGGCGAAAATTTACTATAGGTCTGTCTGAGAATCCTAAGTTACAAAAGATTGGCTCAAAAATATTTGTAGTTATGCTATAGCTCGTCTAATTTTTATCACAGGAATGATGTAGAATTATTAGCCACACGCCTCAAAAGTGTTTATAATTTTGCTACAATTTAAATGATCGTTTACCATAGGATGAGAATCATTGAGGGATAAATACTAAACACGTTGCATTAGACTTAGGAACTTAATTAACAGGAAAGTTAAATGACTAAGTGAGGAGAGAAAGAAAAAGAGATTACCTGATGACATCGATCTGATCTTCAACTTCCACCGTTCCTAAATGGTAATAAATTTCATGCAGCATTCTGTCACCTTGGTGTGCGCTGCCTTTTCCATCAATCCACGCATAGATGTGATTCCTCCTGCCTGACAGGTAAGTTCCCCAGTGAACGCTGAATTCGCTTGTTACCAGTTGAGATCCTGGAGCACCATCCCTGAAATCATAAAATTATATTTCCTAAGAACTTTGATGGTGAATATAATGCTAAATGTAACTTTCAGCGGGAATTTTGATGTCGTAAAGAATCATAAAACATTTACTATACTAAAAACACAAAACATGCAAGTCCAAAATATCAAATCCTGAAAGATCTTTTATAAAACACATAATACGTGCTGTTTTCTTATATTTTATTTAAATAAATTTTGCATAAGAATATTATAAATACCAGCAAGCATTCTAATTAAAATTGCAGTTAAATGTTAAATAAAATGTTAGCGAAAACCTAAAAATAACAATTTTACTGTAGCTTATTGAAATATTAGAATAAGAGTGAATTATTTTTATCATGGCAAAGCAAACAACGGCTATCTTTCTAAAGGGAGTGATGTCTTTTATTGTAGGGATTGTATCACTGACAAATTAACGCTCTGGGATAAACAGTGAGAAACCTAGAACTAGTTTGTAGGCACAAGAAGGACAGCCGATGAGGAAAGTGGAATGAAAGTTAAACGGGTTGCAGTGATGAAAACTGCTAGACGGTATCGAAGACATATTTCACCTTCGTGGAACATTATTTAAGATAAACTGAAATTACGTTACAATTGAAATCACGTTACACATTGAAACTGAAATCACACGTTACACATTGAAATCATACGTTACACACTGAAATCACACGTTACACACTGAAACTGAAATCGCATTTTGAAATCACGTTACACATTGAAAGAGACCGCGTAAACTATCACGTAGTGTAATGCTTCTTTGGCGATATGAAGCAACTCCAATGATGGAACACAGCAATAACGTTTATTTGACACTCAAAAATGGCCTTAGTGATAACAGGTACACAATCATTTAAATGTTCTTACATAAGAGTCAGGCACATGGAAAGTAAACTGCGTTAAATTATGTTTGGGCGCTAGGATTTTTTTAATCATCTTTTAATCTCTCTCTTTATTATTTTTTTATTTTTTATTTATTTTTTTTAAGTTTACTATGTGCAATAATTTAATAGGTTTACAACTTTCCTCCATGCAGGACCAACGATTTCACAGAAGCCCCATAAAGATATGACAGTTGTGTCACGATAAGCACCCGCATGTAGACATTTAGCAAGTCCAGAAAATCCACGGCAGTTAATTTTTCAGGCAAAGTCCTTCTATCTTTACTTTATCTAACACAAGTTTCTGTCTATTCTAACAGCGATTCTTAACAGTCTTTTGATTGCTTCTTTGCTTAATTTTAAGTAGTTCCTAACAGGATACTCTTTCCCCGTACAACAACATCCAAGCTTATATGTAGACTTTATGAGGCTCTTAGCCGTCTATTCGGCTGCGTTCCCGGAGCAGGATGGAGCAGAGAGTAGATGGTTTCTGCCAGGAAGATAACACACTGTGAGGCTAAGGCCAGGTCAGTGGTCTTCCTTGGTGGCGCTCACTCACTCACTCAAAAATGGCGACATACAAACAAGAAAAGAAAACATATTCTAACATTTTAAAAATAAATTACATTCTTCGTGCGAGAGTCGCACGTGGCACTCGAGTCTGGTTTCAAATATTGCCATTCACAAAAACCTTAATGTTCATCTATTTAAATTATTTAAACTACAAGATTTTAATACTATTTAAAGCTGTTACAGTAGCCAGCGTATTTTTAAAGATATAAACCGGGTAAACTACCATTTAATAATGGTTTTACCACTTGGCCGTTGCTGGGCAGCTTATGCGAAAGAAGCATTATCAAGACTCATTTCTGAGTGGGAGAAATTATTTCTTTTTCATACATACAGATATGATATTAATGTTTTTTTAAACATTAATTTGTTTCATAAATAATTAACTACCTAACAAAGCTGGAAATCCAATGATCCATTCAAAGGTGCTTCCGCATCTTAAATAAATCTAAGAGTTTTGTAAACACCTTTTTTTATTATCCTCTTTCAATGTTGTTTCTATTTTTCTGTAATGATATGAAGCATTTCACAAAACGATTAATTTGTTATAAAATAGGTCAATTGTTTGATGAATTATTTCATTGCCCTGAAACATTCGACAATTAACATGATGTTCTGGCTTATTTTAGTTTAAGAGAGCTATAAGGCAAATAAACTGTGATGGAACAGAACGAATAATTCATAAAGAAACTTCAAAGTGATGTTTGGAAAACAAGAATGATAAAAATTCTCCATAAAGGAAAACCTTTGTTTTTTCAGGAACTTTTAAAAATGCTTAATAAATATCATAAAGAAAAAAGTTACTTTTGTTCTTCATTTGACACGAAATTTCTTTTTACACATCTAGTATAATTATTAAAAAGGTTTTTTCCAGGTGATCCACAAAACAATGATGTAACTGCGTTAAGCCAAATACTTCAAAATACATTTTTTTTTCATTTTATGGCCTATAATTTTAATGTAACTTATAGAGTAATATTTTTGAGTAAAATAAAAGGCTATATATGCACTACTGAGAGAGGTCTTTAAGGCTTTTTGAGAGAGGCTTACGAAGAGTGATATCATAAATGTAACTAACAACAGTTTAAATGACGATGTGTTTTGGACGTATGGCATCTCATAATTTGAACAAGATTGAGATGCATATACATTTTGTTGCGTTCTACGGGTTCATGCATTTGGAATAACTGATGATAACACTTGATGAAGAATTAAAACACAATTTATGTATCAGAAACGCAGTCTTCAAGCTTTAACGGTGAAGACAGCTTCAACGCAAAGCACTAAAGTACAGCTCCCTACTCGGTCGTTGCTCACAAGCTGATCTCTTAACTGAAGACACTACTTTTGTCCCGTACAGGTAGGATATATATAGCTTTAACCTACCTTCGAGAATATTCCAGGGAAAACTGCTAAGAATGCGTTCTAGAATGTTTTCGCTCCGTCTATTGCATGTCGCCAATTTGGTAGCAAAATAATTTGCCCAAACAGGCGATTTCGCGCCAAATTTTTCAACTCTCCCTTTTCCTGCCACTTTCTTGCAACCTTAACTCAGTTCTGCAGGGAAGCTATCTCACGGCCCAGCTCAGCATTTCGCAACAGTATTTCGTTTTTAACTCTTTCGCATCGAGAGAGGGCAAAATCTCAATTCCCCAAACATCGAAAACGCCCGTATCTAAGAATTTCTCCTGGAATGCTTTTCCTTCCCCCATGACAAGTTGAATACTACAGCGCTAACAATAGCCTTACTTAAGTAAAGCGAGAACTTCTTTCTTCGACGCTTTGACACTGTGTGAAGTTCCCCCTTAGGACGGGATTGCAACTTCGGGCATCAAAAGCTAAACACTGACAGTAAACAAAGGAAAGGAAACAAGGAAGCTACTTTTAGTAGCTTCAAAAGAATGATTGATATGTGATTTAACAACACCTGAAAGCAATGAGTAATGCAGTAATGTGATGGGGGAAAGCACTGGGTAGGAAATTATTCAGGCGTTTCGGGCGTTCGGCCGATGTCTGAATGTTTGGGCGTTTGGGGCGACTTCGATGCGAAAGAGTTAATTAAGAAGATCTTGTTTTCAGTTTTGATATTCTTTACTTCTTTTCTCAATTCACCCTTTTCCTGAAGTAAGCAAATCAAGGAGCATTTAAGAATGTACAGAAAGCGTTAAGATAATGAGGTAAGAAATTTAGCAGAGAAGATTTTCCGCTGTACAAAATTCTTCTGACCAATCTGTCCTTACATCTGAAATAGAACCAAATGGTAAAGATACAAAGTTGTCAGTAGTAAAATAATATGTTTTAAATTTACAAGCCGCCGAAATAAGTTATTGAGAATTTTATTAGCCTTCTTTTCAGAATTCCGAAAACAGTGAATCGTGAACAGTAAAAACTTCCGAACACGGTTAGACATGGAGTTTTGTTACATGCAACAGAAATTTATACTTCATTTCTGAAAATTTTGCTCGAATTTTTGAATTATGATTTTATTTTATACACACTGTAGTTTTCAACAAATGCTTTAATATGATATTACCCATCAGCTTTTGATAGCTAAACTGTGTGGGGAATGCATCGTCGCCAAAAACAGCAAAATTAAGCTTCCCAGTTTGGTGAATTAATGAGTGTAGCAAATAAAAATGCTTGTTCAGTTGCAGCTTTTAGGTTTGATACGGAACAGAATTTTAACTCGGTTCATTGCGATGGTCGTAGTAATAATTCTTAGCTTAATGATAAGAATTTTTATTAGAAGCTCCAGTTTCTGCTGTGTTTAAAATTCTTTGCTCAGAACAATTTTACTGTGTATAGTATTGTTAAGGTTTCTTTATAACCATCGGTAGTAAATTTAAACCATTAAAATATATTCGTTGTCATTTCATTTTAATTCAGGAGAATTCGGTTGTACGTCACTTTACCCGTATGGCTGTATTAAGGAGTGCCTTCAGTTTATTTCACTATCCATTCCACAGCCATGTTTCGCTATATTCGTTGCGAATTAAATTAGGACGCTCATTCATGTACAGATTTAACGGTCATGGCGAATAATAATTTTATGCCTTTAGGTCCCATATTGCTAGAAGAAAAATTTCTCAATCTCCTGTCGGCCGCTATAGTAAATTTTATTCTTATTTCGTCTGCTCGTAAACTTCATTAATATATAGTTTAATACGCTTAATCGAGCAGCCCAGACGGTATACTGGTTAGGAAAGCCTGACTGCGATACTGAAGGGCCCAGGTTCAAATCCCGGAGAAGGCATCGATGTAATTGTCTGTCCTTTTATAGGTGGCAAAGGTGCCTCGATAATAAAGAGAACACCAAATCTGGCCTTAGGAGTGGCCGATGCCGGCCTAGGCAAGCGCCTGCCAATGGAAAAAAAAAGCTTAACCGACACATTTCAATATAACGAAAGATTCAGATTGCAATCAGCGTAACAATTTGAGAAAAATGCGCGTTCATTAAAAATATATGTAAAGATTAAATGATAAACAAAAACATATTATTAACCATGCATACGGTAACATATTTATTGAGCTTGAGC